GTATTAATAATTCTGGAGTTGAATTATGTTTGAGACATATGCTTGCCTTTTTTTACTGGTAAAATTAGCCATTTGTCATTATCGGAATGCATTTCCCTCTTGCAATGCATTATATTCAACATTATATAGAGTAAAGTAGTTATACTGACTCTATTAAACAATTATTCTCCTGCACAACACTCTGTGTTCACTATCAAAGAAAAACATATCAAATGCTTGATGTAATCATAACTCTAAAAAAACGATATGATCATTTAAATGATGTGGGCGGTTATGGTTTCACTTTCACCGGCGAGCACGTTTATGTCATGGCTGCTGTCCCTTTGAGAGAGAAAAAACATAAATGCAAGTCATACTTCCCACATGGCTCCAAAATGATCGCTCTGCAACAAACTGCTCATTGTTTACAACTTTATTACCTGTTATTTACAGACAATGCAGGTCATTAAAGTGTGCATCCTCTGTGCATCAGTGTGTTGTGATTTTGCGGCCGCAAATACATCATAACATGAAGACAGAAATGACATTTTTGGGTGAATTATACCTTATAAATACAGTATACTGACCATTTGGACGTGTCCACATTGCTGATCAACGTAAAACAATGTGAAGACTTGTGCTACTGCCTTTATGCGTCTATCCTGAACTTGATAATTTAATTGGTTGATGCTGGATTAAGATCGTGTAGGGGGTTCAATCGAGATCTCAATCTTTTTTTTCAATTAATCGTGCAGTCCTACCACATGGCACCTGTCATCGGGTTAAAGTCAGAGCTTGTTGGCCCTATTCAGCAATGAATCGGAGTGCGAGTTTTATGAATTGAAGTGTAATGTGTGATGTAGCTTGCTGTGTTTAGGCACAACATTTAGGTCCCAATGAAACCAGACAAGAGCCAACGCAAAGCAACAACACAGCTTTGTATGAACTGTCCTTATGAAACTAACAGCTCTCATCATTTTTTTAAATTTAAATGAATAAAGAAAGAAGCTATAAATAGATTCCTCACTGCCTTGGTGTCATCTGTGTCATCGGGTGATTCGCATGATAAAAGCACGAACATGCTAACAGTCAAGTAAACAGCATCTGGTAGATGTGACCATGTGTTTACGTTACTCCTGAGTGGCTGTAGTGCTGCTACTGTAGCTTTAACTAAGCATTAACTTTATATGAAACAAGGGAAAATAAAGCATCTACATGAGTTTTTCAGACTTCTATCAGTTAGCCATTTTGACTGTTTAGAAATCATGTTTAGCTTCTATCCATCTTTTTCTTTTTTTCTCAAATTTGATGCCAAATTTATCAATCTCTCATTCACCCCCTCACCAGCCCTCCCTTGGTGTTGAGCAGATGGCACACCAACATGTCATTTGCCATTTTCTTTAGGGTCGCCTTCTTCTCTTCTCACCCACAAAGGTCGTTTACAGCATCATGTTTATGTACAGTAGGCAAATTTTTGGTTTGATCAGGGTATTTTGTTCCTTTTTTTTCTCCCCCTCCTCCCATCAGACAGATGTCTGTGAATCCAAATGACCCAACTTGGGTGATCATATCTTTCTCTCTCTCTGGTGTAACGCTTTTGGCTAATGAACAAGTGTAACCACTGCTGTGGGTGAGCTGTTGAGGTGGGATTGTTTCTCAGAATAATTAGCATGGCCGGTGTTAATTACATTTTGTCCATTGAAGGTGGCAATTACTGTCGTTGACGTGAGTCTGTGAGTAATACACTGGGTGTTGGAGGACTGACTGATGGAGTTTATACAATTATGATGTAATTGAATGTCTACAATGAAGCTTGCATGTCAGTCAAACCTGATACTTTTTGGTGTACTTTTTTCCCCATTATTAGTTAAATCATAATTTTATAAGGATTCTATAGGATGAGATTTGTCTAAGCACTTGCACAAAAAAAAAAACATAAACATATTTATTTTAAGTTGACAGTCACCACTAAAAATTTGGTTTGTGTAATCATTTTGAAGATAATTCTATATTATTAATTAATTTTTTTAGTTGTAGGTAACACTGATTTAAAATCCTGCTGAAATCAATCTATGCTGTAACTCAGACCCCATTGAATCCAATGCAAAATCAACAAAAAGTCGCAAAAATTTTCGCTTCTGAAAATATTTTTAAATGGTAATGCAAAATAAACGCTACAAGTAATCTCTTAAAACTTCCAAGTATAAACCATATAATCAAATTATATTTATTTCAGTTTTGCAATTAATTGTTTTACATGCTTTTATGTTGCATACGCAGCACATGTAATGTGATCTGTTAGATTATATTTCAATAAATGACATCTCGCCTGCGCCCTCACAGTCATTAGATTACATGGAAAGGGAGAATTGTTTTGAAGCTAGTGCAGTAAGCAGACGTGGATGAAACGTGAGTGATTTACATGTGAAGTCAATGCAAACATGAGATTAGACATCCTGTGTGTGCGAATTGGGCGTTTTGCGCGTTTGATGCGCTAGAAACCTGCAAAAGAAAGTGTGAGCAAACATCTAACAAACAGAGCAATAGAGCAGAGAGAAAAGTAAGCAGATTACAATGATGGAGATTGGTTCAAGGATGATGGGCGCTGGACGTGACCGAATTGAAGGACATTATTTGTGCTTTACATGTATGGCTGGTATTATGATGAGCGACAAATTGATAAGTATTCCGTTTAACTCTTTCCCTGCCGTTGACTAGAGAAAAAGCTTCCCTGCCATTTGAGTTTTACTGCAATTCGTGTTTTAGATGTATTGTAGGGAAATCCCTAGCGGATGTCCTATGTGTGAGGTATATGATGTTAGATGCTTCGTGGAGTGAAATGTGAGAGAAAGTAAGACCATGGATAAAAAATCAGATACTTTTTGGTGTACTTTTTTCCCATCCTTGGGTAAATCATAATTTTATAAGGATTCTATAGGATGAGATTTGTATATGCACTTGCACCAAAAAAAACATATATTTATTTTAATGCAGAAAAACAAACAAAAAGTCCTCAGAGGTAACTCAAATATTTGGTCGGTGCTCTTTGGGTAAGGGATTCATCAAAACAACAACAGGAATCAGTCCAAGGCACTCGAAAAATGTGGAAAATTGTTGACAGTCACCATTAAAAATTTGGTGTGTGTACTAATTTTTGGAGAGAATTCTGTATTGTTAAGTCGTTTTAGTTGTAGGTAACACTGATTCAAAATCCTGCTGAGTTCAATTTATGCTGTAACTCAGACCCTGCTGAATAAGTGGAGTGAAATGTGAGAGAAAGTAAGATCGTGGATCAAAATAAGAGTTATACAACCTTCCTTTGACTTACTCCCTACCGTTTTAGATCTGTTTTAGATCTTGTCTTGACTTATGATTTGTGTCATTGTCATTGTGTCAGATTTTACACCTAAAAACTAGGGGGTCTGGTAACTGTCATTCTACTTTAGTTGTTCACAAGCAAAAATGTGTATTTTAGCAGTACTGTTGCAACACAGTTAATGACTAAATGAATATTAGAACGTCATGATGCATTAGTCATGTGGTACAGATCATAGCTTACAGAAAATTCACTTGTTGGAATGAAAAGTTTTAGGATATAAATTCTTTTACAAGGTATAGGATCTCATAATCACAGCAGCTGCAACATTCTGTGTTCCACAAACAAATGTTGTTGTTTTTTCTCAACAGGCAAATGGTTTTATAATTTATTAACCGTGAAAGATAGACCTACTGTGAGTTTCAGTGTTGTTAATTGATGGTATATGCTTTTGTTGAAGTCATCAGTTCACATTTATTGTTCATTTTTAGTGTTTCTCTCTTGTTTTTCTGTCGTTTTCTAAATTCATTGTAGTTCACAGTACACATTCTTTTTCTCAATTTTCTCTTTTCAAATACAATGCTTAGCATACATAAGTACACCCCTCACAAATATTTTAAATTCATATTTTTAATAGGAAGCTATACAATATTATATTTGTGCATAAACATTAGATTAGTCAGTATGGAAGCCTAATCTGGAGCTTATATCTATCAAAATAACTGACGATAATGGTCCAAAAACTAGTACACTCAAATTTATGTTAAACATTAAATAAAAATTTGTAAAAATCAAGACAAACAAAAAAATGTAAAAATTTTATTTTTATTTTATTTATTTTTTTGCAATGTTTTGCTTGAATTTAATTGTATTATCTTTTATGTTTGGTGACTAAGTATGATTTTAAGAAATATATCTGTCTGATAAATGTGTTTTGTTTAAATGCACCTAAATACATTGCCTATATTCACTGAGAAATGGATAAAAATATTAATCTTCAAAATAGGCTGTACTCAATTATGCTGAGCACTGTATATAGTATGTTTGATTGGCTGTGATTATGGAAACTCGACTGGTTAGGCCTGTTTTTTGTTTATTATTTTTTTTATTTTTCCCCCTACCACTAGATTCCAACTGAAGATAAAGTAGCATATAAGAGCAAATTATATTACATATCCATGAATATTCCTTAGGGAAAATGTCATTTATTTTTAAATATGTTGATTTTTTTTTTTTTACATTTTGATACTATATTACAAAGGTTTCAAACTGGCTTGCTGGAGGACCGCAGCTCTGCACAGTTTTGCTCCAACCCTAATTAAACAAAGCTGATCCAACTAATAAAGTTGTAAAAAAGACTCTTTTGAACGCCTCGATTGTTTGGATCAGCTGTGTTTGATAGGGTTGGAGCAAAACTGTGCAGAGCTGTGGCCCTCCAGGAATTGAGTTTAAGACCTATGCTATATTGATATTCTCTCTTCAAAAATATATCTACAGTGTAATAAAACTTTTTATTAAAAAATCTGAACCAATCTGGATTTTTTTAAAGACACTTAGCATGAATTTATAAATGAAAAAACTAGATGGAGATTTCATCTGTGATCTGTCTGTTTAGTCCTTACTGACACTTCCACTTTCTCTGTGTCTCCATGTCTGTCTGTCTCTGTCCGTCTGCCTCTCACTCTTTCTTCCACTGGATCCACAGGCCAGAAGGAGACTCCTTCAACAAAGACAGGTCTGTGCTCACGCTTTTTTCATCCAATCTCCATTTCTCCTCCTCCTCCTCTTCCTCCTCCACACTGCACTCTCTGACTCCTGTAGTAGCGCACGCTCCCTCAAGTGACAGAGGCCTGCTCTATCTAGGGCAGCCTGAATGCATGTGGGACATGCCATCGCTTCTGATGACTTATTGCCTCCCTGTATGAAAGAGCTCTTGCATCTGGAGCAGGTTTAGCAGTCGAACAGCACAGTGCGCAAACTGAGAGGGAAGTGTGAGAACATTATCAGAACAGAGCGATCAAAGCATTTGGAAATCCAGAATTATTACTTGGCTGCAAGACTCCCTGTTAGCCGTTGCCGTAGTGACCAATATGCCCAGTGTGAGTATGTTAATGGGTATTGATATGCATGCCGTTTGCATTCGCCCATATAGTGAACGTGAACATGGGCGTCAGTGGTTAGTCAGAAGTTATGAGTAATAACCCAGCTGTGTATGTGCGTGCGTGTGTGTTTGGTATGTAGGAGGGTTAGTGGGTGCAGGGAAAAAGGTCAGATTTGGATATGTTGGGAATGTGTTGCGTGTTTCGAAGCTGCATGAGAGTGACTGAGAATATTTTACATTTTATTTTTGGATTGTCTCTTGGTGCTGTTGTTATGCCCATTCCTCACCATGGGCACGAGCCGAGGATCTGAAGGATAAATGATTGGTTGTCATGGCAACACCTGTAGATGAACTGGATTGCCGAAAAAGTTGCTTGTGTAATACATAACCCATTCTGTGTGCATGTGTTTGAGATTTGTATGTGTGTGCGCACTCCACACACAGCTAAAGGACACAGACAACTGTGCTGTAGAACAAGGCCGCTGCTATGTCACGTTTCACTATAATTACTCGTCGGATGCTTTTGTTCTCGCTCCGTCGTTATGGTTGTGGATTTAATTGTGTTCCTTCGACGTTAAATCGCAGAAATACATTCTCATAAACGTGACATCATTTATGCATTGTGCTATGAATCATACTTGCGTTTGTTTGTCACCACAACACTAATGCAAGGTTGCAATAATTAATAATGAAATGGTTTTCATATCCCTGCTCAAGCTGATATCTTGAGCCGGCAGAGGCGTGAACGTGAGCATGTTTTAGGCTAAGTAAAAGGTTTGCTGCGGGGTTGTTGAGAGCTGCTTTCCCACCCCAGCAGCTCCTGCAGTCCGCAGTCAGCAGCAATGCATCACTCAGGCCTCCAGGGCATCAGCCTCTGCTTCCAACCACTAGCCCTGGATCTCTGTGTGTGTCTTACAGTGCGTTGTAACTGGACGCATGATGTCATCTTTTTTACATAGAAATGCACAAGTTGCTATTTTCTTGGTCAATTTTGAATTCCATTTTTATTTACTTTATTTATTTATTTATTTATTTATTTATTTTGTTTATTTATTTATTGGTAAATGTTACCTGCTGATGATCTCCAAAAACTCCAAAAAATAATTGACAGCATATACAAACAAAATGTACTTTTACTGCATTTTTTAATCATAGAGCATTATTTACAGAATTATTTCAAATTTAGTTAAAATTAAAGAAAAAAAAAAGTATTTCAAATTGTAAACATATTCATCATTAAAATAAATATTTAATTTTTCCCCAAACTGCAACAATACGAACTAAATCTGTTATGTCCCACTTGTACATTTTAAAAAGTCTAAATATTCTAAATTACGTGGCTGAAAGAGCTTCACTTGCACGTGTTGCAAATCCTCACAATGCATACCCATTAAAAAACATGCTGCATTTTCCTAAAATGCAGACAAATGTATAAAAAAGGCTGTATTTTCTCTTAATTCAAACAATTTACAAAAACATGCAGCATTTTCTCACAGCACAAACAATTTACGAAAGTGTGCTGTATTTTCTCACAACGCTTGCAAATACAATAGAACACAGTAGAAATCTTTCAAGGGGACCAAAAAACATCACAAACATTGCTGTGCTATGACTATTGCTCAGTGGAGTTGTAGGTAAACTTTTAAAAGGTGAGTTTTTTTTATTTTTTATTTTAACATTCTGATTCCCTTGTCTGTAATTCAAGAGTTAGATATTGGCACTTAGATATTGCTTGATAATATTAGCAGGTTTGGCATGCTCTCTAGGGAGAGAACCCTGAGCTCAGAGATAATTGAGCCCAGGGCTCCCACCTGGTCAATTAGCAAATAAAGGGGTAAGAGATCAGATAGTTCTGGAGAGCTCCCCCTGGAAAAGGAGGACGATGGGGTGGATGGGGGGAGCCTTCAAGAACGATGATAAGAGAGTAATGCTAGATGGGCTATTTATAGTGAGTTTGGATTTATCATATTGGCTTACTAATGATTAAGGATGGGAGACCAGGCCTGATCAATCATATCAGGTGGTCCACTCAAAATTAGTTTGTGAAACTTCACTCAACCTAAATAACTATAGCCTAAATAGTTGGGTCTTCCACGTTTTAGAGTCCTCTTGAAACATTTTTACTGTGTTCCCTGCTAATTGAAAGTGTTATGAGAAAATGCAGTGCCTTTTCAGAAATTGTTTGTGTTGTGAAAAAATGCAGCACATTTTTGTAAATTGTTTGCGTTGTGAGAAAATGCAGCTCGTTTTTATAAATTGTTTGCGTTGGCCACTAAAATAAATGCTTTGAAAATAAATGTAATAAATTTTTACACATATTTTGTATGTAGCGTTGTTCTATTATTTTACAGATACTTCTTGTTTTAATCTCTTTGTAAAGCCCTTGCTGACAACTTAAATATGACTAATGTTCTCTCCCTGCCTTTCTCTCTCAAAGCAATTTTGACTGTCTAGCAGATTTTTTCACTCACGCAGCAAACATTTTAAAAATAGCTTGAAAGAAAAAAAATGAGCAATGACTTAAATTGCATTTTAAACCCTGTACAGTATTAATCTATCAAAATTCTTGCTGTGGGCTAACCTGGAGCACTGAGGTCAACTCAAGTTCAGGGAAACAACCTCTGTTGATGCTCCAGTAGTTCAGCATGTGTTTTACTTCTGATACTGAGGAGCTCTATCCGGTCGATCACTGCATTTCTACACTGTATAAAAAATGATTATGCCAGTTAGTTATTACAACTTAAGCTTTTGAGTTAAGTTATCTGGATTGAATGTGTTGACAATTTCTACATCAAAATTATATGTCCATATTTTTCCTAAAGTTAGCTTAAAAAAAAACACCATTTTATGAGAGTTCAAAGAGGTCAAATAAAACAGATGTGTGTCTTTTTAAACAGACATGCTTACTAAATCTGTTTATTCATTCATTCATTTTCCTTCGGCTTAGTCTCTTATTTATCCAGGGTTGCCACAGTGGAACAAACCACCAATTATTCCAGCATATGTTTTACGCAGCGAATGCCCTTCCAGCCGCAACCCAGTACTGGGAACAAATCTGTTTAGACTTTTTTTTTTATTTACTTGTAAACATTGATCTGAAACTATGTTTACAATGATAACCTTTGATCAAAAATACTCAAGTAAGTATACGTAAAACATGCTTTTTGGGCCACAATAACAAAGTAATGAATCATCTGATTGTCACATCCTCAGTGAGCAAAACAATTAGTACTTTATTGCAATTAGTGAAAAGTTAGTTAAATCAACACTGCCACTACTAGATGCTACAGTACTTGTGGTATTACCAAATCTAAAAATTAAATACATTAATATGCAAGTGGTTTAAGATATGCCGGGTTCATATTCCATGAAAATCTCAGGTGCTTTCTTTTAACTAAACTGTGTGAAGCCCTACATCACATACTTTAACTTTGGGATTTAATGTTGGATCTCTTTAGAAGCTCTCAAAGGGACAGAATTGTAAAGCTCTTTTATGTGTTTTTTTCATGTAATATTAATTCGTCAATAAGAGCTTCCAGGGACGGTATCTTATTTCTGTGAACAGATGTACTTGTATTGTAGAGTAATGAAAAATAATTTCATGTGCTAAAATAAGGGTCAACGAGCATTGCTTTGGTAGGGACCAAATGTATGCTTGTGCATTTCTGTGCAATCAGCTCCTGAAATTTATCGTGTGTGTGCAAAATAGATTACCAAACATTCAGCAGAATGCAGAGGGAAGAACAGCTGGGAACATTGTCTTGGGGCCTGTGGCACAAAAACTGACCTCGCAGTATTGGCCAAAATTGATGTTAAGCAAGGGAAAATAAATTTCTTTAATCTGTATTGCTACCTTGATGTTCAATCAATTTTATAAGCATCACATAATGTTTTGTTTGTGATAATGCATTGAAATATATGCATATTAAAGAATGGCACTAGAGAATAGCTGTTTATCAAATACAAGTGAGAAAATTATTCAAAATTAAAACCTGATCCTATTATTTTAAGTTTATTCATAATTATCTGAGGGCTGTTTTGGTTTTCTCTGCTTTTTTGCATTGTAAAATAAAGCCCATGTTTTTGAACTTATAGTTTACTATATTGTACAGTATACAGTAAAAAAAAAATGTTTAATTGGATTTACACAATTTAGGGTAAGTTGCAAACAATTTAAATGAGCTAAATTTAAACAAATTAAGTTGAACAATACTAAATTGAATATATTTTTTTAAATTTAGCCCATATAAATTGTGTGCAACCACTTACCAAAAAAAAAAAAATGTAAATCTAATTAATCTTTTTTTCAGTTTAATTAACCAATAATAGTTGTATTGAAATGCCATAAAGGGTCTACCTCAGAATTTTTGCAAAAAATACACTATGAGGGCTGTGGAGCACTGCGAGCAAAGGGAGGAGTGGGCATGGCTGGCAGAGCAGAGCAAAGAAAGGGGGGGCAAACAACTGTCAGTTGGCTCACAAAATAAGACAAAAAAAATTACACACAAAACATGAGGAGTCTCCTGATTTTATAGTTTTACAAAGTTAAAATTCAAAAAGAAATAAACACTAAGTAATTTATTGCCCTGCTACATATATGGATTTTTGCAATTTCATATAATAAATGCACATAA